GCATTTTAATTATTTTCACTCTGTTAGTCCCCTGCTTTCTTGAGGTCAAGGACAGTGACCCATATATTGTTTAATCATAACCAAACATCATTATCACATTTAAATATTAACAACTCCTTATTGTCATCAAATAACTAGTGTTCAAAGTTCTCCAATTGTTTAATGATTTACTTTTATTTATTTGTTTGTATAGGATTCATTTGTTTTTATATACTGGAATTGGTTGATATGTCTCTTAAGTCTCTTTTCTTTTTCTTTCTTTTATTTCAATAGATTGGGGGTAGAAATGCTTGTTACATGGATGAATTGTACAGTGGTAAGTCTAGGCTTTTAGGGTACCCATCACCCTAATAGTGTACATTGTACACAATTGAGGATTTTTCATCCTACACCCCCTGACCCCTTCTGAGTCCCCAGTGTCCATTGTATCACTCTGTTTGATCATGCATACCTATGGTTTAATGTCTACTTACAACTGAGAACAAGCAGTATTTGTTTTTCTGTTCCTGAGATACTTCACTTAGGACAGCTTCTAGTTCCAGCCTACTTGGTGCAAAAGACATTATTTCATTCTTTTTTGATGGTCAAGTAGTATTTCATTGTGTGTGTGGCACGTGTGTGTGTGTACCGGGGCTGTCCAAAAAGTATCTAGCCATGTAATATGAAAAATAGAGAGCATAATGTTGTGGACTCATCATACATAGCATTTATTATGTTGAGGTACGTTCCTTCCATACTTAATTTATAGAGAATTTTTATTATGAAGGCATGTTGAATTTTGTCAAATGCTTTTTCTGCATCTATTGAGATGATCATATGATTTTTTTCTTCAATCTGTTAATGTGATATATGATGTCAGTTTATTTATTTGTGTTGAATTGGCTTCACATCCCAGGGATAAATCCCACTTGATTATGGTGTATGATCCTCTTATTGTCCTATGTGATTTGTTTTCCTAGTTTTTAATGAGGACTTTTGCATCTATGTTCATGTAGGGTATGAAGATTATTAATTTTGTATGTCTACTTGTCTTAATTCTCTGTGTGCCTATTTCATGAAAACTCTTAATTATATCATTTAATTTCTCTTACCCTGGCTTGCTTCTTGAGTAATCTGAAGAAGTGGGATGCCTCTCATAATTAAAAATTTGTACATTTTTAATACTTTTAAATATTTCTGCTGGCTTCTATTTATGTCTTTTGAATATAACTCAGATTTATAAAGGTTTACTGGTCTTACGTGTTCTAACTAGATTATTCCTTTTTGTTTTGTTTTGTTTTATTTTGTTTTTGAGGTGGAGTGTCACTCTGTGCCCTGGGTAGAGTGCTATGGTGTCATACCTCACAGCAACTTCAAACTCTTGAGTTCAAGTTATCCTCTTGCCTAAGCCTCTTGAGTAGCTGGGACTACTGGCACCTGCCACAACACTCAGCTATCTTTTTTGGCGGGGGGGTCCTGAGCTCAAGTAATCCACCCTCCTCAGCTTCCCTCCCATGAGCCACCATGCTTGGCCCTAGATTATTTCTTTTATCAATATCAAATATCCTTTTTAATATCCTGGAATTCATACCTTTAATTCAGTTTTATCTGATATTAGTATCATTATAGAATAATTGTGTTCATATTTGGTAGGTATTTTTTTTAACATCCATTTATTTCTAACAATATAATTTCTGATCCACTTAAAGTCTTTCTTTTGTTTTTCACAAATTCCAGCACATCTATTAACTTACTTAAAAAATACCCTTTAAAAACTATTAATAATAATTTTGTGTTAAAAGGAGCAATTTCAGCATATGCTCCAATTGAAAAAAGATATTCTCATTTTTGTTTGCTTGTTTGGATGGGGTCCTTCTGAAACTACATCCCTGGAAGGTAGTACTGGGTGTCCAGACAAGGTCTTTCAGTTTTACTATGTGCATTTCTTTATTTGAATTTCTGCTTGTTAGTTTCCTTTTGATTCAAGACAATGGAGCACACAGTGTGCTGAGTATCTTCATTTCTCCCTGCCAATGTACCAGCTAGCTGTCTCCACCTGCTCCAGTGCCCTGTGTGTGCTGCTGTCCTGTGTAGACAATTGGGTTTGTCCAGTGGGAGGTACCAACAGGAGATCAGACAGCGGGAGGACAGGTCTGCTGGAACAGTTATTCTCCAGCCCCCCTGTTCTGCTTCTGCCCCCACACCAAGTCACCTTCTTTTGGCTCCATCATCCTTACTGAAGATAGCAGCTGTCAGGCAGCCCTTTGCATACACAGACCCTCATTTCCTCACCTTGATCCTTCTGCACTAGAGGTAGCAGCTACTCCCAAGGGTGTAGCATAGAGTGCTGTGGAGTCATAGCTCACAGCAACCTCAAACTCCTGGGCTCAATTGAGCGAGAGATTCACTTGTCTCAGCCTCCAGAGTAGCTGGGACTACAGGTGCCTGACATAATGCCTGGCTCTTTTTTTAGAGACCAGGTTTTGCTTTTGCTCAGGCTGGTCTTGAACTTGTGCGTTCAAGTAATCTGACTGCCTCAGCCTCCCTGAGTGCTAGGATTATAGGCATGAGCCACCCCGCCTGGCCCTAAGAAGGCTTATTTTAGAAAATAAGCCTTTGCCAGAAAAGAAAAGTAATAATAAATGTTTTATCAGTAGAAACTTCCACTGAAGTTTTCTCTCCCTTTCCCTATTCACATTGTTGCTGGTTCCTGAGCCTAGCGGGGAAAGCAGGCAGAGTGAGGTCCCCTGATGTGGGTTTTTATGCAGCGCTGTGGGGTAATTCCTAGAATCTCAGAGTGATAATGTGCCTTATCTATGCAGTATGAGCAGCATAAAGCTGCACAATTTGTAAGGTAAAGACTTAAAAACCCACCCTGCTGCTTATTCAGTGTGCCTACAAAAAGAATGTTGGTGGCTGAAATATAACACTGACTGGGTGGTGCCTGTGGCTCAAGGAGTACGGCACCAGCCCCATATACTGGGGGTAATGGGTTCAAGCCCGGCCCCGGCCAAAAAGTGCAACCAAAAAAACAAACAAACAAACAAACAAACAAAAAAACAAATAACAAGTGCTTGTCAGCACTTTGGAGAATAGCTAACGATGACAACAGATTAACAGTCCCTGAACCCTTGCTGTCTGTGCGAGATTATTCTCAAAGCTTTTCATGCATAATTTCACTCATCTTTCACCTAACCCTCATGTAGGGGACACTATTGTTAATTCCACTTTTACCGACAAGCAAAGTAAGATGAAGAAAAAGGTAAGGCCCCTGTGACAAAGCCATTAAGTAATTGTGGAGCCAAAATTCAAACCTGAGCAGTTTGGCTCGAAAGCCCATGCTGTTATCCACTCCGTTGTTCCTCTTGTTAAAACATCTCTGTAGAAATATGTAATTATACAAATACTGCTGTGTCTCTAACAACATACTATGTATGTCATTCCACATTATTTATTACGACATAATGTCCCTTTAAATGAATGCCTAGTATTCTGTTGCCCTAGTATACTAATTTGATTAATCCATTTTGTTGCTGGATATTAATTTGCTCTATTTCCCCCTGAATTGCTTTCTAATCCTGGGTCCTCTCATATCATCTCTGACCCCAGCATTTCCTTAACTTTCATATCCTATCTGTACAATGATAATAATACTTAAATCACTAAGTGATTATAATCACTTAAAATTGAAAGTGATTAAAATTATATAGCTTATATCATTGCATTATAATTATTATTCAATAGAGGGTTAAATGTTGCTGTTGGGGAAGGGGGCTCTGGATGACTCTGCATTTCTCCATTTTGTTTACCAGTATATGACTTGTAATGTTTATTTTATTTTATTTTATTTATTTTTGAGACAGAGGCTCACTCTGTTGCCCCAGGCTAGAGTGCCATGGTGTCATAACTCACAGCAATCTCAAACTTCTGGACTCAAGCAACCCTCTTGCTTCAGTCTCCCGAGTAGCTGGGACTATAGGCTTATACCACCACACCCAGTTAGTTTTTTTTTAATATATATTTTTTAGTCGAGATGGGGTCTCAGTCTTATTCAGGCTGGTCTGGAACTCCAGAGCTCAAGCCATCCACCTATCTTGGTCTCCCTGAGTGCTAGGATTACAGGTAGATGCCACTGTGCCTGGCGTAATATGTGATGTTTAAATGTATTGTGGAATGAAGAATATGAGTTGGAGAATATTTTTTAAAACAAACTATTCGATTGAAGATATAAAAGTTAAAATATGCTTTAGTTCTCTTTTTCTAGAAATAGTCTAGGACAAATTCATAGAATTTTGCTTCACTAAGGAGTGCTTATCCTGCATTGTTTTACCCCAGGTCAAAGAAAAAGGTAAGGCCCACTGTGGGCACACTCTCTTCTATACTATCAGAAAATGTTTCCAAGGACTCTTAGCAATCCTTCCCCTTAAGCAAATATGCACAGGCCTCTCTCATTGCTCTGTATTTATTCCCGATGCCTCTGCCAGAGGGAGTGCTATGGGTGTTAGCAGTTCTCAGGCACTTCTCAGACATTGTGTAACAGAGTTCTTGTTTTCCCTATGAGAAGGAGCTGCTGTATTTCCAGCTCCTCATCTTTCTGTATCATCTTCTGAGAACATCTGTGAGAGTTCAGTTTAATGTCCTCATTCTAGTGAGATTCACCCATGGGTGCATTTATACCTGGGCTCCACACAGGGCTGAAATGATGGTGTGCTGATGTTTCACTCAACAAGAAAATAAACGGTGAAATGTTATCTTTAAAATAGACTATCATCCTACTTACAAAAGAGAATAATTGGCATATGTGATCAATTCAGCCTTTCCTTTTTTTGTATTCCAAAATGCAATTGTTTTCTCCATGAATATCTTATGTCAAATGGTTTAGCAAAAAATGCATGTGTGTGTGTGTCAGAGAGAGAGAGAGAAAAAATACATTTTAGACAAAACAGTTTAGTCTCTTTCATCTACTAAAAGAAAAGTTGCTGATGAGATGTAAAGGTTAACAAAAGAATGTGAAAGAATCGTCAAGATATTTTTTCTTTTATTTAAAATGTTAGCTATCACAACACATCATACAATGGACTGAGGACCTTCGAGTCACATTAAAACTTTTAAAAACATCTCTATATAGTCACAATACATGAAACATGCTTCAGGGATACAAATATAGTTTGATACCAAAGTTTCAGCATGTTGGCCATGAAAAATACCAAGGCAAGCATGAGACCATCGGGAATTTCCTTCCCTTTTCGCAGTAGTTGATACGACTGCTTCAAAGCAATTCTTTCTTTGGAGCTTCTATCATTGTTTTACAATTTCACTGAACACTGTGCTTCGCTGTGAAAATTCCCATCAATTTCTACTTCTGAGGGAGTCACCATATTATAATTACAACACGTGTTTACAACACATATTGGCACGATATGAAAAATAAACACTTTTTTTGAGTCTTCAACTCAAAACAACAATTGTTATTAAATAAATAATTATTCCTCCTAGCGCGTGTCTTATTTTGCTTTCATTGCTCATTAACACAAGTGAAGCTGAAATAAATCATTTGTCGGGTAGTTTATTTGCGCCTTCGTTCATAATTCTGCATCGCACTCCTCTCATAAGCCACTGGAAGGAAAAGAGGGGACAGAATTGTTTTCAGGAGGATTCACTAAGGGAGTTAAACAAATAAAGTTCAAGGCAGTCAGTCATTTATTTTAAACTCACAATGACTTTCTCCCGCTCCTGAAGTATTTTATTGCATGTCTTTCAATCCTGCCTCAGTTTCTATCTTGACTGGAAGTGATCTAACTACAGAACTCTTTGTTTTTTTCAGTTATTCATCATATACTTCGTGACCCCAGTGTGTATTTCTAGCTATTCCAATACTGATGCTCTGCAGCTTTCTCAAGCAGTGACAGACACCAACTGTGAGTTACAGAAAGGATAATGTCCAAAGTAACCAGGAATAGTAGCAGAATAAAAGTGAAATGTGGGAGTTTTATTCTAGGACAGGGTAAATAAACTACAGGCCATGGGCCACATCTAGCCTACTATTTGTTCTTATGGATGAACTTTAATAGGATTGCAGACACAGCTATTTATTCCTATTGTCTATGGCTGCTCTGGTCTAGAAAGGAAGATGTGGGTAGTAGCTACAGAGACTGCATGGGTCCCAAAGTCCAAAGTATATACAATCTGGTTCTTTTCATAAAAGTTGGGCAATCTCAGTGCCAGGGGCACCTAAAGGTGGGAGGGTCTCTTCCTCTCTTGTGGATACTTCCCAATGACAGATTGTCCTCAAGACTAAAAACAGTCTATTCTCTGAGAGTAAGTCAATTGGGCCATCTAAATACAACACCATTTAACTTACCGCCTAGAACCGTCATGGCCTGTGAAAGATCAATATTGCTTCAAAAGGTATTTAACATGTAGCTACAAGTAATTCAAATACTTTGAGTACCTGGACCAAAAAAATGCCAAATTATATTATATTATATTGTATTATAAATTATATATAATTTCAAAGGCATCTGTAACCACAAAAGGGTAAGAATCAGACTGTTGTGATCAAAATACATAAGGCTGTTTTCAATCATCTGAGCCAGTACTTTATACACTTACATTTATGGCTTAGTGAAATCATTGTGCCTTTTGAAATTCGGTATGCCTTGTATATGTATAAAATATTGAATTTAAATAGAAACAGCAGAAAGATCTGTAAAAGATTTATGGAAATCTTAGGTGCTACTCTGCCCAGTTTCCTCAGTGAGGTCCGTTGAGAGAGAAGGTAAGTAAAGGCACCAGTGGTATCACTTCCCCCATTCAACACTGATTTTAACATCCAGCTGTTCCTTAAGTGAGGTTAACAATAAGAAGAACATTTCATATCAGTTATGGAATTATTTCTGAGATGGAGCAGTCCAAGCCCCAAACTGGGCAGTTCTGAAGGAAGGGCACAGTTCACGTCTCACTCTGATTTGTTTATATTAGGAGGAGGATGCTTAGCACAGGTTCAGGCTCCATCAGGTTTTTGGTAACACGACTCTGTTCCTCCCAAGAATGAGACAAATGCCAACATAAACTAAAGATGGATGAGAGATTTAGCTGGAACATAACGTCCTTTCGTATGGAAGCAGGGTTTCTTACATGGTCCTTGAACCCTCAGAAACTATATTAAATTTTTATGTGTATGAGCTGATAAAGGTTTCTCTAGGAGAGATTATCTACATTTATCAAATAGTTCCTGACCAGAACAGGGCTAACTGAGTGTACAAGTACCTGATTGACTATGGATACATTTTTGCCTGCTTTTTAAAATTTATATTTTCGAATTCAAATGGAAGAACAAAGGTTTAGTTATAAATTGATTCTGATTAATGAAGCAATTCTAAGTATCATTGCTAATAATTATATTATTACTTTAAGTACATTTAACAGCATCAAATCTATTCTAAATTACACAGTATCTACATTATTTATTAAAGGTAAGCCTGCTTTGAAACCTACATCAATTCTGGAAATGGAGAGTTGATGACCTGTATTAATAAGAACACCACAGTCATACGCATGAGGACTGGCATGTACTGATACAAATAAAAGCCACTGTGGTTTAAATTTATAGTCTACTCCCAACAGCTGGTATATAATACATAGTAATAAAACAATTACAAGTTTTTCATTATGCACGCTGATAGGTTGGGTGAAACTTGCACTGGAGAAGTCCCAAAATTAAAGGTATTAAAGGTAAAGACATACAAAGACAGTGTCTAAATTTGGAGAGTAGAGAACCATTAAAAACACTGGGAAAATCATTGTTTTGCATAAATCTAGATAATTAAGAATTAAGCCAATACATCTTATGGATTTTCTAGAAACTTCTGATAATTTTCTAGACAGCTGCTGATTACTTTCTAATTAAGGAGGTGTTGAATATTTTAATTCTATTTTCATGGAAGGTGAAACAAAAAGAATTTGACTAGCTTTTCGAAGGAGCCTTAGCCTGAACGTGCTTAACAAAAAATTTCTATGAAAATAATATAGGGTAATAATATATTTAACCTTGGACATAATGTGATGAATGTGTTCAGAAATAAAGGTTTCAGATATATGTATGTGGCATTCACATAGAAGATAGAAACTAAAGAGAAGAAAGGAGACACACAGCCTTTACATGGTATGAAGTAGTTGTTTGAAATTAAAATGGACTATGAGAATTGTGGCTTCCCTTGTCGCTAAAGGTTTGATAGCCAGAACTGATTTATAACACTTAAGGATGATTTGATGGTGTTCCTTTTTGAAGATACTGGAACAGACTGTCACTTCTCTTCCTCTCCACCTTCCATCAGTATGTTTTGAGTTTCTACAGCTTCAAAAACAGCAAGCAACTTGTATAAAGGATTTATGTTTTTTGTTTTTTTTTTGGAAGATTGCCAATGTAACATCTGATAAAACTTTCAAATTACTTTGGTAACAAGTGAAAATGGATCTCATTACTCCCTGCGTCCTCCACCCCTTAGTTCAGTAAGATTATGTATAGGTTATTTAACAGATCTGCAGGAGAGTATTAGATTAGTCCAAAGATTCAGGTTGAGTAATGATTAATTGGGACAGATGCTGGTAAGGCTGGTGGTTTAAGAGAAATAGACTGATATTATGGTAATATTAGCTTAATCAGCTATAAATCTATTCTTGGGTTACAGTACTATAATTAGATTTTTCGACTATAAATATTCACTTTAATTCTATTATTCCTTTTTAACACTTTGAAAACTGTGCCTTATAAAAAAATAGAAAATATTTGAGATATTAGTCTACTTTCAGTCATGTTTTTATACATACCAGAATTTAAAGCTCTTTTGCCCATTAGTCCAACAAAGGAATCTGTTTTATGCCCTGAAAAAATACATTTAGGGGTACTTTAATATGTATGTCTTTAAGGCAACAAACTGTTATAACTAGTACAAAAAAAGCAAGCTCCTGAATATATGCCTATATAGTAAATATGCATCTACTTCAAGTTTTTGTCAACCTGAAAAAATAAAGATCCCTCACAAGCTTTATAAATTACACTAAAACAACACAATGAAAGCACTTTTCTAAATATTAGCAGTACCTTTAATTCATATTATATTTTATCTCTTACATAAAGTTTTAAATATTGTTTCTATTTGAGCTAGCTTTGATTTTTAGGGACTGAATGCCATATTTGTGTGAAAAAGAAATATCCAGGCTTATTTTCTCATGTTATTGAATATGTTGTATTTCCCAGCAACTGAACCTTAGTTAAATAGGTCCCTACACTTGATAATGATATTCTTCCAAAAGGTCACTATTTCTATTGATTGAATTTTTTAAAAATACTTTTTTTTGCAAAGGTGTATTAGTTTTGACATGAATAGAGTACATTTATGTTTATTACATAGAATTTTGCTATATACAACTCCCTCGAAAGTCAAATCCTTAGAAAGTAAATATGAATAAAATGTATTCATTTTCAGAGGTCAGACCTTTGGAAAAGATTATTATTTTAATGCTAGTGGGAGAATTTCTCTTAATTTTTACCTTATTAGTTGAGAGTAGGGTTAGTATCCTAATGTGGCCTCCCAGTGAACCAAAGCCAAGACAGGATACGTGTGTGGACAGTATGATAAAGATGGATGGACCCCTGGGAATTCTTGTTACCTCTGGCTCCATTAACTGGTAACCCGAAATCTAATGACCCCCAAGTGCCACAATTTTGCCATCTTCACTGCCTTAAGAAATGTTTCACTGATTGAGGTTTCCCATTCAATTACGAGATTAAAAAACTGCATCTTTGTGTTTATCTTTAGTATGGACTCTCTACTTAGGTTCTTATTCTACTTAATTGGCTGCTGGAAGACCATAATAAATGATGTCATTACAGGACCGGCATACTAAGATGGGTTAGAAGAGGCCTACAAATGCCCCCCCCATGGAAGTGGGCATAGGGGATGTTGTTGTAATGGTGGACTTTTAACCCTCAGATTAAAATTCTTATTTAAAACTAACAATTTATAGGAGTTAAAGGACTTTTTCTTTTTTAACACCGCATCTTTTGATAAGTACAAAATATCTAAACCATAGAGCTTTAAATGATCATATTCTGAGCAACATGAGTCTCCCCATTCTTATTTTTTTGTAATTTAAAGTATTGCCCCAAATTATGATAGAAAATAAGGTAAGATATTCTATAAAGTGGAATTCAGTATGATTTTACATTTCAATTTGATAAATGTCAAAGTAATTTTGAACTTACTTTTGTGAGAGATCTGGCCATGTCCTAGAAGAAAGGTAAAATTAGCAAACACATATAGATTTGTGTTTAAAAAGCTATATCTATTAAAAAGAACTACAAAAGTAGTTGATTTTCAAAATCTATAACATTTTCCATTTATAAATGCTAACCAAATTATTATGAATAAAATCAAATGTTTTGACAAACAAAAGGAAAATTTATTAAGTGCCTCCTATGGGCCATGGATTCAAATCCAGTCTATGAAATTCTTGAGGCCTGTAAGGCTATAACCACCTCCCATGTTCAAGGCTGGCCACCCCTTTGATACTCAGGAAGAGCAAGAAGAGAAAGAGAGAAAGAAAGAAAGAGAAGAAAAGAGAAAGTGAAGGAGGAAGAAGACAAGAATGAGAGGTATGCAAATCCATCTCTTACTTAAACAGGCATAATCAAGATCTCGCATTTTAGCCCATAAAATATTTTATCCACTTTCCTATATGTGCATTCACTGTAGTAAAGATTTATAGGAATGTTTACCATAAAGAGCCTTTAACAGGGCCAGCTGTTTTTCAATTGAGGAATCTGACAAGAGACGAATTGACATTAACTATACGACGTTACACTGATGGTGCCACGAATTCAAGGAAACTGAATATTTCTATTATGAGACACTGGGCAGCCACATCTCACCTAACCCCAGGGAATGCTGTGAGCCAGCTTCCATATGAGCTTGGATCATTCAGTGTCCTAGCTCCTGGGTTTCCCCCGCCCCCCGTTCCCTCCCCCAACCTTCCCCTTCTTTGTCAATTTGCATCTTCAGTCACGGGAACGCTTAGTTAAGGTTAGTTGCTGTTCTTGGTGGTTTGGGTTATTCTAATACTGTGAGGCTTGAGAGGTGAATCTTTTCCTCCCTTTCAGGGCTGTGCTTGTCTAAGTGAGGTGTGGGCTAGAGTCGCGCCCGGGGCGAGAAGTAACACCTCTCTTGGAATGGAAATCTCCGCTCAAAGAGCAGGGAACACTCGGATGCTACGAGAACGAGTAAGCAGGCAGGGCAGGCTGCCCCGAGAAACCTAGGGACGGTTGCCCATCTCACCAGCATCCCGTTTGCCCATTAATCCAAAGAACTGCTGAGGCTTGGGTCTCCGGGCGATTCTCTGCAGAAGATGCTCGAAGGGCTCCGGCAGCTCCTCCTAGGGGACAGACGCACGGACAAACTGGTTTGTAGGCGACCCGAGCGGTCCCCACAAAGCGCTCCAGTCCCGGGCGAGCCACAGCTTACTCGCGGTGCGCTCAGCCCTGAAGGCAGAAAGCCGGCTTCCAAAGACGGTCCTGAGTGGGGTCCGTCCCGGGGCCTCTCCCTGTTTCGGTCCCTACCAGCCTAATTCGAGTCCCGCGCCGCAGCCTCCGCTAAGCTTGGCTGGGAGAGTTAGCACTGGAGCCCTGAGCCCTCTCTGCTCTGCTCTTTCCCTCCCTCCGACCCCCAGCCCCGGGCCTCTCACTCATCTGCTGCGAGGCTACTGTTTTTGTCTTGGCTCTCTGGTGGCCACTTCGGAGACTTCACTCCGCCATAAATGCCCACAGGTGTGTGTGTGGTGGGGCTGGGGTAGGGAAGGGTGACAACGCTTTACAAGTCACCAGCACCTCCGAACTTTAACTGTTCCTCACAGGTGCCCCCTTGCGCCAATAATCTGAGACCCTCGGACACTAGCAGCTGGGCCCTCGGGTCAGCAAAATCAGTGTCAAGGCAGGAAGTTAACTTCCCACCCCGCTCAGTCCCTCCAGCCCCGCGCTCGCCCTGGCTGCCCGCGGGCGCCCCGCACGCCCTCCCCTGCCAGGGTCCAGCGTTTGCAGATGCTTGGGCAGTGCAGCTGGGCTGGAGCCCTCGAGATCCGGTTACGGGGCAATTAAACCTTGGGAAGCTCCTAGCCTCCTGAGGCCCCGGGCTCATGAAGTAGGGCATCCCTCCTTGGAAGAGTTCTTGGATGTGATGGGGGAGCCCTCAAGAGGAAACTTGAATTGTGGGCGCACAATCTGGTGAGGAACCCGGGAAATAGCGCGCGTTTACAGCCTTCCGCGCTGTCTCTGGCCGCGGTCGCGGAGCCTGCCAGGCTAACTAGGGTGCCATCTCGGGGAAGGTGACAGCTCCCAATCCCAGGAAGAAAGGCATGGGCCGCCCGAGACACGGTCTCACCTTGATCTGGTCACTATCAGACCAGTCGGACCAGTAATTCAGATCATCATTGGCTCCAATTTCTTCAGCAAATAGTTGAGTGGAGACAAGAAAAAAAACGGCCAAGGCCACGAGGATTTTCATGTTGAATTTCTAGGAAGAGGGAGAGAAAAGGAGGTGGGTGGGGGGAGAGAGAATACATCCAAGATCCAAGAGTTAGGGCAGCATGATTTTCAGCCCCGTAACGGAATTCAGGTTCCTTAGAACCAACATAAAAAGCTTAAGGGCTAAATCAAGTCTCACTTGTACCCTTTAGGAGAGAGAAGCACGCTCTGAAAATTCTCACATCCTCGTGTTTCTGAATCCCAACTTCCCCAGACCCCCAACCCACCATCCCCCACCTTCAAACCTGGAGGCTCAGCAGGTGAAAAACACAGAAGGGCGCCAGCGTTTCGGAGACCTGTCTCCTCGCTGTCCCCGCTGCAGCGGCGCACCTAGTGCGGCCAGCTGCCCCCTCGAACAGGTGCGCGGAGGGAAGGGCGGGGAGCGCCCGAGCGCGGCTGGCAGGGCGCGGGCACTTACTGCGACGCGCAGGCCGCGGGGCTCCTCCGGCGCTGGACTCCCGCAGTCCCGGTGCAGCGGCGCTGAAGAGGAGTTCCCAGCGCGCTCGCTCGCCTGCTGGGTGCCTGGCGGTATTTATCCCGGGCTCGCCAGCCTCCAGACCCACGTGACGAGACTCGCCCCGCGCTACTTTCTCAATATTTAATTAGCCGCCTCCTCTCCTTTCGCTTGCGTGATTGAGAGTTTCCGAGACGGTAACTCGTCGATGCCCATAACATCTGGACCCAATTGGCTTCGAAATGACGCAATTTTAGGAAAATCGAGGTCTCGACATCCAATCGGGAGCGGCCTGTCTTCCGTCTGCAGATCTGACGCCCCCTCCCCTCGCTTTCGGAACGGGGTTTCATGACACCTGAGATTACTCATCAAAATTGAGTAAAGTGACTCATGCCTTGGACTTCAGCAACTTTTTCGTCTCTTGGGACGTCAGGATAATAAGATGTACTTTTGAGAATGGCCAAATAACTTCAGGCATTAAAACATTTCGTCGGAAACCAGGCTAAGAAAGGAACACTTCAGGTGCGGGGGGTGGCAGGGAAGTGAGGAAGCATATATATGTGTTCTATTTTCATCTTCAAACTGTGTTGTATTTTTGAGATACAACATCTTTCTTGACCAGAACATCCCTCTTCTAAATCAACTAGAATTTGACATTTCTTTAGCATTACAAAAGAATTTTTAGTCCTGTAGTATTTCAGTCAATGGGAATAGATTTATTATTAATACTTCACGTTTTCGAGAGGGGCATTGCATTAGAACTTACCCTTCTATCAGTGCTAGTCTAGGGTATCTTTTGTCCTACACTGGCTAAATCCACTTCCTTGCTATATCCAGGAGTAGGGTTACAAGAGGAGGTATTTTGTTTCTCTCTTACCCTTTTCTTGGGGAAGACTAGGAAACCAGCAAGACCAGTGTTACCAAAGGACTCTACCAATTGTTCGCAGATTTCTCCTGTATAGGACAGCAAGTGTAGTGAAGATGCTAACAGGGTAGCCATTAACAACGCTCAATTATTAGATAACAGTTTTACAGAAATCACAGCTTTCTGTGGGTCCATGATCCCTTGCAGACACATTTATTTCATCACTAAATGAATTAACAGACATTGCATCTTTGGTGGTGGTATTTTCTCCCCTTAGTATTTATTTTTCAAGTAATTAAGACTTTTTTTAGTATAATGCATAAGAGAAATACATTTTTGAAGCTCAATTAAATCAGTAATTTTTCACCAATATTTACTGTTATTTATTTATTTTTTTGCAGTTTTTGGCGAGGACTGGGTTTGAACCCGCCACCTCCAGCATAAAGGGCTGGTGCCCTACTCCTTTGAGCCACAGGTGTCACCCATATTTACTGTTCTTAAATAACCCTGACTTTGAAAATTCTCATGTATTAGGCCTATTCTTACAATGTGATCATTTTAATTTTATTTTTCAAATTTTTTATATGGAAAATTATAAACATATACAACAGTAGGGAGAATAGTACACTTGAGACAATTTCTGGTTTTCATCTACAGCCCTTCCAATTTCCCATCAACTCAGATTATTTTGAAACAAATCCCAGACATCTCATCATTTCAACTGTACATATTTCAGCATTCTTGTGTAAAACATAAAGATTTTTAAACATTATAATAGAACCCTGCCATTGTTTCACCTTAACATAAAATAATTCCTTACATTAAATATCTAGTCAACATTTAAAGATTTCTCATTGTCTCATAATTCTTCCCCACACAGTTTACTAGTTAAAGACTGAATTGTAATGAAGTCTGTATATTATAATTGGTTCATGTCTTGTTTTGGGGGCTGCTGTCACAAAGTACCAGGGCCTGGGTAACTTATAAACAACAGACATTTATTTCTCATAGTTCCAAAGGCGGGAGGTTTTAAGACCATGGTGTCAGGTCAGGTTCTGGTGAGGACCCTCTTTCAGGTTACAGACGGCCTCTTGCCTCCTTATATCCTCACATAGTAGAAAGGTCAACAGAACCCTCTGGGTCCCTTTTACAGGAGGCACTAATCCAATTGGTAAGGGTTGTACCCTTGACTTGATTACTTTCCAAAGGTCCTGCTTCCTAATACATCACTTTAGGGGTTGGGATTTCAACTATGCATTTTGAGAGAACGCAAACATTCAGCCTATTGCATGTCTCTTAAATCTTCCCTAATTTTTAGTGGTCTATCTTCTCTCTCTTTCTCTCATGTGCTCATGCAGTTTATTGCTAAAACAGGTCAAGAGAGTGTACTGCATTGTAGGATTTGCTGCTTGCCTTTTAATGTGTCCCTCTGCCCCATCTACTTCAGATTAATTCGTTGTTGTGTCTAGAAGCTCGATCTTATATAAGTTCTTCTGTAATTATTTATTTTTGGTGACTGGGCTACCTTGTGTATGTTTCTGTATGTTGCATAGCTCTACTAGGAAGCATATGATATCTGCTTTCTCCTTTTGAGTTGTTAGTAGCCATTGATTATCATTTTCTACATCCGTTGATTTATTAGTGTTTTCAAAATGGTACTATTCTGATTTTATCATTCATTTTTTGGTTTATTAGCTGGACTATTTCTTTTCATATAATGAGAAACTTTTTTTCTCACCCACTGCTTAGTTGCAGGCATGATTAATTTAAGAAAGATGAGCTAAATGCTTCATCACTTCCCTCCACCAATTTTGAAAATAATGAGTTGGTAAATTAACATTTAAATCAATCTTTAAATAAGGCCTTTTTTTTTTTTTTAAAGTTAGGATTGTTACGACTTCATGGATTTAAACACATTGGAAATGTAGTCAACCCTCAGTGTCCAGGGATTGGTTGTAGGATCTCCGTGAGATACCAAAGCCTGCAGATGCTCAAGCCCTTGATATAAATGGTTTAGTGTTTGCATATAATGTACACACATCCTCTCACGTACTATAAGTCACTCTGTATTACTTACTTATAATACTTAGTATAATGTATGTAAATGCTATGCAAATAGTTGTTGTATTGTTTAGGTCATAATGACAAGGAAAATAATCGGTATGTGTTTAGTAACATGAGATTTTATTTACTGCATTTCTTTTCCTATTCCTTTTCTTTGCCTTTTTTTTTTTTTTTTTGCTTTTTTGAGACAGGTTGCCCAGACTGTTCTTGAACTCCCAGGAGCAAGTGATCCTCCTGCTTCAGCCTCTCAAGTAGCTGGGATTACAGGCACAGACCACTGCACATGATCACTAAATATTTTTGATCGTGTTGTTTGAAATAGTGAATGTGGAGTCCATGGACATGGAGTGCTGACCGTATGTATTCAGTCTATGACAGGCATTCTTGTAATTGATGCTCAAATTGTAACGTTCTTGGCCAGCAGGTGATACTTTCAACTTGGCTACTGAGACTTTTAATATATTTTTAATAGGCTTTGATGCCCTTTTTGTTTTTGCTGTGACAAAATATTTCAGGTATAAGTTCTATAGTTCCTGCTTCAGACCTGGAATCTGACTTTTAAGGTACACGAATTTGTTTTTTTTAATTATAACTGGTAATTAGAGATCATAGTGTGGGCATTAGGGGTGCACATTTTCATTGAGTTCTTCATCATTTCAATACCTTTTCAATCAATAGAGCTGAGAAATGTGTGTGTGTGTGTAAAATCATGAAGGTATATCATTTCTATTGAAATCAGGATATCATAAGAGCTTTTACTAATCTAATTTATTTTATGTCTTTTTTTTCATACCCCAAATCCCAGTTTTCAGGGACATCAACATGATAACTCATTTACTTTATCTCAATACACAATATCAACATAAAAAGAATTTTTGCTTGAAGCTTTGTTTTTTAAGTTTTAGAATATATCACATTAATCATGTTTAATCAAATTACTGTTACAAAGTCACTGTAACTTGTAGTTATTTATTTTTATCTTTCTTTATATTGTTATACCACCAACTCTTATACAGGTAGATTTATTTACTAATTTTGCTCTTGAGTTATAGTGATTAATTTTTAAACTTAATTTTAGAATTATGTAAAATACCTGGTTCCAAACTCACCTATTAAAAATATAATACATTCAAAGAAGTGTAACTTCAATTCCTGTCTCTCACCCTCTTTCTTCTAGTAACCATTTCTTTTTAGGTTTTTGGTTTATCCTTCCTTTGTTATTGTTGCTATTTTAACATAAAAATATGTAATGATAGTCTTCTTCTTGTAAAACTCTGTACCTAAAGTGGGGCCATTTTAGATGTTTTTTTGTTTCTTAGTTGCTGATGTGTTTATGAGGTAACAAAAAGACAGCTGTTTCACAATTTCTAAACTATTAGCTCAGTATAACCAGTTGTATAACTTTATTTAAGCATCATGAGCTGTAAATGTGCCATAGTACATGATAAAAACATTTATTTCCTAGAATTCAGTAATAAACAATAATGAGATAAAAATTGATCCAAGAATACAGTTCCCCCTTATTCTATGTCATTCCTTAATTGCTAATTTAGTGCTCTGGTAAGGTCATGCACTTTCTGACACACTTTCTCCTTAACCA